AGGAATCCGCACCATATATTTGTTTCGCTCGTTCCATGCAGTAAAATCTTTGAACAAATTAATTTTGCTGCCTTAATTTTAGCATGTGTACAGTATCCCTTTTCGCCGCAAAAGTTCAAAACTCCCGACAAATGTAAATCAAAAAAAAAAGACTGGAACATGGAAGAGTCGAGCGATGCGGAGCTGCAAGAACCGGAAGCCAGCAGAGCTTCACCTCCCAATGGAGAGTTTGCAAAGATCTCGCGTTTTCCAAGGTATCTTCTGCAAACTGTGCATTTCTGGATTTATGAAAGCAAATACTAATACAAATCATGCTTTGTCTTCTATGCGTGAGCCTGGCTGCTTTCCTCGAATTGCTTTTTCGTAAACGCCTTAACTTTATGCATTGAATTATGCAGCGGATCAAAATGATATTTTGATTATCTTTCTAAGCGTTCGCTTAACTAGCAACAGGACAACATTCAATTTTACCTGTGACACTACCGAAATAGCCAACGCCCACATATTACTGTCTCCTGCTTCCACTGCCCAATTTTTATGGTTGCCTTTTTTTACCACTCCTTTCTTTAAGAAATTAGAAGCAAAAAATTGATGGCATTTTGTTCAAGAAATTCGTTATCATGCATTTTTGCGTGGCGATAAATTAGCAGAAATAGCTAACAATATCTGATGGTAAAGGTGGTTGTGTCGAAAATCTCAAAAACAAATTCCAGGAAATCAATGTCCGTTAATCCTCCATCTTAGCGATATAACATAGTAGACATGGCGCAGTTTTATGTATGAGCTATAGGGCTACTGGTCAAGAAAAGTTTAGTTTTTGGTCAAAAGCAGTAAGCTGTGGTTGAGTTATGATATTTGCCGCTTTCCCCTGATATTCCGCCAGATTCCACCACAGAAACCAAATTCTACCCAGCGGAACTGTAGGGAAGTCTTTTTTTGTTAAACTGCCCGATTTTTGAAAATTCTGATAAATTGTGGTTCTGTTTAACAACAGGTTGCAGGAAATCACCATTGCGCAGCTCGTTGTTGAAGCGTAGCGGCAGAAATCGCTCACCGGCTACCAAATTCGTTAGCTTCAGTACACAAACCCATGAAAAGAAAATCTGCAACGGTATGCTCCCATTCTACCATATCATGCATCTCAATCTGTATACATTTCGAGAGAGAAATGAGGCAACGTGGTCTCAGATTGACCAATTTTTTTACAGCATGCCTCAAGAGGGCCAAGAAGTTTCCCGGCAAAACCAGAAATCTTAACATGCTTTCTCGGAAAGCAAGCATATCTGCTGATCCATCAGCTACGATTGGTGCACTCGGAAAGAAACGGATTGATTTTTTAATTAATCATGCATTTGATTGCATCAGTGCTGGTTGTTTGTAGTAACAGACTGTATCCAAATGATGCAAAATGGCACGGAATTGATCAAGCTTCGGGCAAACATTCGACAGTTTCGCCGGGTTTTTACGCTAGATTCCGATTTGTCACACATACGCTGGACTCCGACAAACAAAAAACCACATAAGGCTAAAAGTATGTTGTTTTCATTTTTCAAAAAACTTCAGAAAATTCACTTTCACGCTAAAAGTAAATTCGTCATTTTTGCTATTTCATTTCCAAATTGCTCTCGAAGTTTGCCAAAATCAAGAAGAATTTGTTTCAGTAGCAGTTGACAGCATAAAGGAAGTGCGAGTGGGAAGGACCACTGAACTGCTGCGTGCTATGGAAAACTATGCAACTGAGATGCAGGTAATACTCAACTTGAAAAAGCAAACCAGTCAGTTATTTCAGGATTTGTTAGTTCGTACTGCCTACTGAGGAAAATCATAGTGCACTGGAGCAAATTTGGCTGATTATCCTGGAAAAAACTTTTTTTTTTAATGCATTTTCCCATCAGTGATGCAACGAAAACATATTAATGCAACACAATATTTGTGTATTTGTGTGTTTACTTGTGCGTGCGCGTGTGTTTGTGTGTGTACGAGTATTTATGTGTATATAAGAGTGTGTTTGTATGTGTGTGTGTGTGTAGACGTGAGTG